AAAGAACCGAGGCCTAAACTCACCTTGGGATGGTGTAAACTTCCCTATGGATCTGGCCCTCTTAGAATGCCCTATTTCTGACTCTTGTGTCCTTCTTCTTTGCCTTTGATCCTCCAACTTTTGCGCAAAAGCTTGCATCCTTGCTATATCCATATCTTTATTCAACGAAGCAATGGTACAATCTCTAACCAGATATGAATCTAATCTATCCACATATCGATGAACTCTATCCTCCATAGTAGCTACTACATTAGGAGCATACCTGGCCAAGGAATTAAATTTGAGACTGTACTCTCTCATGCTCATACTTCCTTGGTGGAGATTTAAGAACTGATCCTCACGGGCCTCTCGGATCTCCAATGGCAGGTAATGGTCAAGGAATGCCTTTTTGAACTCTTTCCACATAGTTGAAGGTGAATCGGTTCCCTTATATTGCTTCCAAGCTTCATACCATAATATAGCCACACCCTTTAATCTATATGCTGCTAGTTTAAGTGCTTCTTTACCACTTACATGCATAACATCCAAAGTGTGTTGAATCTGATCTATAAAGTCTTGTGGATCTTCATTAGGATCTGACCTGGTGAATGATGGAGGGTCCAAATTAAAGAAATCATGTATCCGCGTGCCAGCTGCTCTATCTACACCACTAGTACCTGCAACTGGACCTTCTTTCCTTTGACCGTGGCTAGTAACTATATGAGTCAATAATTGGACTGCATTCCTCAAATCTTGCTCGATAGCATTAATAGTGGGTTCCTGAGGTGCAACTTCCCTCCTTAGATCTTCTAGAGATGGAGGGGTCGGGGAAGTCTGTGATAGAAACTCATTGTGAGCCCCGCTCTATTCAGCATGCCTAGGTAGTGCTTGGCTGGTCCCTATACTTTTGCTGTTTCTCGTAACCAGCATATTTGCTATAATAAAATAATTTAGAAATTATATATGATTAACCTACAACATTGGTTCTATCACGCGATCTAAGAAATGAAAGAAAAGAGACAACTCTTACATGTCCTGTACCCTCCTGTTTATAAATATGGTGCACAACACATCCATAAGCAAAAATCTACACAGACATGGCTTTGTAGACATCCTAGGATGACCTGCTCTCATACCACTTTTATCACGCCTCAAATCCCATAAAGACGGACAGACACCCGATTCCCTCAAGACCCAAGAGAACCAACATGTAACATATGCTTACTATGCTTATAACTATGACACTCTTGTGACAAGTTCACAAAGGATGCAGCGATAGGAACCAACATAAGTAGATCCAAAACATATATATAAGACTTGGCCGTTGAGGCCACAACTTGTCTAAGACGCAACTGAACCATATACATAAGTCTACAAAGCCTCTAAAAGATAGAAAACCTTAGAGTAGGTCGGGACAGACCCCGCCTTACTCTTAACTATGATACAATACCAAAATGAATCTACCAAGGACTCAGTAGAGCTCCAAATCAATCTGGAGCTCACCAAAAGTAACTGAGTGTCGTGTGCTCCTACTGAGAAGGTCTACTAGCTGAAGTAGCTGTGCATGCAGCATCCCTGCGAGGGACGTCAGTACGAGAAAATGTACTGAGTATGTAAGGCAATAACATATATAAATAAGAGTTCGAATGAAACCGAGTGTCAATACATGTGTGCATAAATCAAAACAGAAGATCACATTTGTTAACTCTTGTAGGATCATATATGTTACATTCTTGTCTTTACCTTTCTGTGTGTTATGATCATTATAAGGCATGTGATACAAATGACTAGGTGATCAGTGGTAGAAGAGGATGACCCATGCTAGGCATTTAAACCCCAGGGATACGATCCTCATAATTACACAAATTGGGATCGGCCCATGCTAGGCTTTTGCCCTTGAGCTGCCACCCTTCTATACCAATTGGGATCGGCCCATGCTAGACTTTCGCCACTGAGCTGCCACCCTTCTATACCTATTGGGATCAGCCCATGCAAGGCTTTCGTCCCTGAGCTGCCACCCTTATTTATACAGATTGCTTAACTTAGATTCTTTAATCTTTGAGATTGTTGTTTCGGTGGTCATAATCATTTTTTTATATTTGGAACTACGGACCAGTAGTAGAAGACATGAAAATAATACTTCAAGGCAATAACAATGACATAAGGAGCTATGTAGCATCAATGCATTACTTATGAGCTTAAATGACACGATTGACTTCAACTGACTAAGAGAAGGATTCATCAAACTTGCTTTTGCAAATACCATTTCAATACCAACATATAGGAGGATAATTACACAAGTATAGAGTAGTGAACATATAATGAAGTAATTCTATACACTAAGAAGAGGGGGAAATATTGTCGGTTATTTGGAGATCGTACGTTGCCACTATGTTTCCTATACTAGGAATAGAACTTGGGAAATTCCCTTATTGATTTTGATTGCAAGTATCAAATTTCATCCCGAAGAATATTGAATCGAATAGCCTTACATACCTTATTCTCTAACCAATACAACTATCACGATTTACTCTCCCCTTTTAGGTTTTAATCTACAGTATAAGTCATGATAAACTAAAATTAGCAGCTATCACACCGTGAGCCTCATAAAATAGTAGCTAACTTGATGGATAATGAGCCCATGCAGCCCTCAAAATAATATATATCACCACACCCTCCTTCTCTGCCCAATACATACATTATATATCCTTTTCCAAGATTACCCAAGCCGCAACAACAACAATACACATAAAACAGCCTCAAATATTCTTTATTATACAACCAATTATTGAACTCACCACCCCCTTGAGTTCTTTATGATAGCACACTCATAATTCCTCACTCAAACTCATACATAAGGAGGACAAAAAAAAAGAGCAATCGCCTTACCTTAATTTATGCAACTTTCCCTTTTAACTTGGAATCTTCAAGAACTTCAACTTCCCTTTACACTTAAACCAAAGAAGAAGAGAAAAGTATCTTAATAACCAAGGAAGTGAGCAATAGCTTCTGGAAATATTATGACTTTATATTTATACTTGAGAATGAATAACATGTTTTCCTAATCATCCATGGGAGAATTAAGCTAAATTCTTAAGTGTTTACACTTACCTTGTCTTGCAGAGATGAGGGTTTCTTCAAGAACCCTAGAAGAACTTTAAGGCTGATGTTTTAATCCTTGAGAGAAAAGAGAGAGAGAGAGCTGGAGTTAATCCTTAATATTGTGTGTTAAATTGAGTGAGAATAGCAGCCAATATATCTTATATTGAGCTTATTCACCTTTAAGGATATCCTCTATAAAGCTTCATTTTTAGTGACTAATTGGTCAAGTAGGTGATGCACCTGCTTATGTACATCAAGCAGTTAAAAAGGTCAAACTAGGTGATGCACCTACTTGCTTTCACTTTGGGCTTAAATATTGGGCCTTGACAGATTTAGGCTGCTGGGCTTAAATTTATTTTCCTTTTATTTAACTTAGTTTGGGTCTCAAGTGAGTACGTCAGCATAAGCCCTATCTGATCCATAAACCTTGGCCTTTTTAACTAGATCCATATAGATCAAGTAGGTGATGCACCTACTTGGTCCTTTGGACTGGTCAATAAGTCAAAGTAGGTGATACACCTATTTGTCACCTGCTAGCTTAGCTAAGTCAAGCAAGCAACTCACTTATTTTATTCCATTTTCTAAATATTAATCCCTTTGGCTTTAACTTAGCACTTAACTTTCAACTTTAAGATCAATTACCACCTTACTGTCTCTTTAAATACTCCTGTTGGAGTTAACTTGCAGTACACATGCTGAAACGTGCAAGGCATCACATCAACTTCTGAGCTAGTTTAAACCAACACTAATCATATAAGAATCATGGTGCCTCACCTATACTATAAGGCTATGTCAAGTATCACTAGAATATAACAAGCATATGCGTAATACTGGCTGTTACAAAACCCTTGGCAAAACATATATCAATGAACTCTATTTTATCATGTAGAATTGCTTCTAGTACAGTCAACCTAGGTATCTCAAATGAATCAAAATGGGAACAACAATTACCATAGATTCCTAGGTTATTCAACAATAGACCATTCACATCATCTTCATCAAACAGAGCTGATGTCTGATGATAAAGCGGATCTACTGCAAACTATACAAATTAATCATTTACAGAATATAAGAAGCATGTTTATCAACAAATTTCTTTACATTTAGAGACTCCAATGATGATTCCATAAAGCCGATAACGATGATTTTTTGGGATTGTATATCAAAATTGACTGTGTCACAGTTTTTTTAAAACTCATATAAAGATAATTTAGAATTTCTTTAACCCACGTTAGGATAATTGAAATCGACAATGAAAAAATTCTTAAGGAATAACCCACCAACAGAAACATTAATATACTTACAAGTGCGATAATAACCTTATTTACTTGAACAAAATTTAACATACAAAAAGGGTAAAATTTCAAACCTTTTCTTGAAAAGAAACTAGATGAATGATTGTTACCAAGATAGTCGATAAATTTAATTTGCTCCCAGAAACTAGATGAACATGATGGTGACGGGGAAGACGAGACATTCTACAATATGAAACTCTGTTCGTGTTTTTTTTTTTAAATCAAAATTGGGCATACAGGCCCTTTATTGACTAGAAATTACTAGGCCTCATAAAGGCCCAGCCCAACAAATCCTAAAAGACAGAAAAGATAAGAAACTAAAAAGACAAACAAAAACAAAATTAGAAAGTATTCTAAAGCCCCAACTCCAACTTCAAGCTCTATTTCTCATCTGCCATGGTGGTTGTCGAAGTCGGATCTGCCGGTGACTGTCCTTGATTCATCAAAGACTGCAACAAGCTGTGGTTGGGATGATTCCACAAGAGGCACTCTAATTTCTCACGAATGCCATGGAAACATAGCCCGTTGAACACTTCGCCTCAGCTTGAACAAACCAAGTAAGATTCGATTCACTCCATGTCTCATTGCATCAAGTTTTTCCTCTGATCTTTGGCTCCATCACAAAGATTTACCCTTTCCTACAGATTGAGCCGAAAATCTAGCTAATACCACTGCACAGTCCAGGTATTTCTTTGTTAATGTTGCTAAAACTCATTTCTTTATTACTCGGAGTAATTGTTATGCCGCTTTGTACTGATGTATTAGAGACAAGAATGTGATTTTGAATGTCTATTGTTGTTGTCCCTTGCTTTTACTATATGTTGTGACTACTTTCACTGTCGGCATACTTTGTATTTTGCATTTTTTTTATTCGCAGATTTTCAATTCCTGCTTTATCCATATTAATCAACACCTTTGCTTCCTTTTGTAGTTCTTGAAAAGATGAGAAAATTCTGCTTTGTGTGCTTGCAAAAGAGAAAGTATTGTTAGCTAAAAAATCTGCAACCTTGTTGCCTTCTCAGAACACATGAGCAACCACCACCTCTCTCCTTTATCAAATGTTTAATTTTCCTAATTTCCCCTGTCACACTCCATGGGACTTCCCATTCCCAACAAATCATATTCTTTACTACTAGGGAACTAGTTTCCAACATAACAGGGAAATAGTCTTTGGCCCTACAAAACTCCAGTCCCATAGTGATGACCATGATCTCTGCCTTGAGGTTGTTATCATCCTCTAATCTTTTAGCTTCAGCATACACAAAATTACCGTCCATATCCCTAATGCAAAAAGCACCTGAACTAGGCCCTAGGTTACCTTTAGAGGCACCATTTGAATTGCACTTATAACCAGCCATATTCTTAGCCCATTTTACCACTCTACATTTTAGAATTGGAATATACTTTTCCAGAAACTTTACCAACATATGCCAGGAACCTGGAATATTCCTCAACCAAGGATACAAGTTTTTTGCCATAAGGTGTAATGATCCTCCCACCTCCATGCTCATAGAAATCTGGGACATCTTTCCACCATGCTTGATCTTGTTCCTTCTTTTCCAAATTTTCCATAAAATGAACAGAGGAACTGCCTTATAAATGGGCTTAAGCTTAGGTAAAACCTCTACCTTCCACCATTTCCATACAATGTCTTTTAGATGATGGAAAGGACCTTCAATCCCTACACCAGCTGCAAACTCAGACCATATTCTGCAAGATGCTTCACAGTAGATGAACAAATGTTCTATGGTTTCTGGATATCCTAGTCCACAACAAACACAAAGAACATTATCCCATATTGTATTCTTAACCAGAACTTCTCCAATAGGAATCATTTTCTTCCATAACCTCCACATAAAGAAAGAGACCTTATAAGGCATCCCTCTTATCCAAATGTTTTTGAACAGTTCATTAGATTCGTTTTTTTGTCTCAGAAAGTTCCAGGAAGATTTAATAGAAAACTTGCCTGATCTATTTAACATCCACCAAGGTTTGTCCCACTCTTCAGAATTTGGGATTAATACTACATGCTTAGCAATATGAGAGCACACCTCTTTAGTAAATATATTAATCATTAACTCCCAATTCCAATCTCCTTGATTGTATACTTGTTTCACCTCTTCTAAATAATAATCACCCTCATAATTCATAGGCAGATAATAATGCAAGGCACCAATTTGAGTCTAGTTATCCAACCATAGATTGGAATGACCAATCTTAGGCTCCCACCATATCTACTGGTCTATCTTATCTCTAGCTTCTAGCATTAGCTTCCAGACTTGTGATTCTCCTTTCCATTCTACAATTTGAGGACCCAATTTTTGCAATATTTGTTCCATAGAAAATTAGACCATATTGATTTTTAGGTCCTAAAATTCCACCATAATTTAGCAAATAAAGCTTTAGAGACATCAAATAAAGATCTAATACCTAACCCTCCTTCCTCCTTGGGTAAAAAAAATATTAGGCCAAGTAACCCAATGTTTATTTCTCCCATTTTATTTATAATTCCATAGAAATCTAGCAAAGATTCTATATAAATCATGGATAACATGCATGGCAGGACTCATGACAGAAATAAGATAAATAGGGATACTATTGAGTACAGATTGAATCAAAACCATTTTACCTCCAAATAATAATAATTTTCCTTTCCAAACCTGCAGTTTGTTTTGCACCTTCTTAATCAATTCTTTGAAATGAATCTTCTGTTTCTTTGCATATCCAATAGGACAACCCAAATAATTAAAAGGGAATGATCATCTACTAAACCCTGTAATCTCCTCTACAGCATCTACATGAATAATAGTTGCCTTATTAAACATGTAAAATGCACTTTTTCCTTTGTTGATTAATTGACCAGATTGAGCTTCATAGTCTTCCAATGTATTCATGACCAACCTTAGAAAACCCTTGTCAGCTGACATAAAAATGATAGTATCATTAGCATAAGCTAGATGATTAATGTTATCATTCCACTTAGGCATCCCATAACCCTTATAATCCTTGTTAAACAAGTCATTCAGGGCCCTAGTAAAAACCTAAGCTGATAAGGTAAAAAGGGTAGGTGATAGTGGATCACCCTGTTTGACACCCCTCGTAGAATTGAAAAAACCATGTGTTTGACCATTAATCAGAACAGAGTACCAATTATTAGCAATCAACCTCCAAACCATGTCAACCACATTCTTATCAAATCCCATTTTCTCCAAGACTTTAATTAAGAATTGTCAATTAACTCTGTCATAAGCCTTTGTCATGTATAACTTGATCACCACATTTTTAGGCTTACCTCTAATTCTAACATCATAAACAATCCCCTGAGCTAACAAGACATTTTCTGTTATATTTCTTCCCTTCAGAAATCCAGACTGATTTTTAGAAATAATGATAGGTAGCACTCTTTCCAATCTATCATGTACAATCATGGAGATCACCTTATTAATGAAACTACTCAAACTAATTGGCCTCATATCACTAAATGAGTGAACAATATCTTTCTTTGGAACCAACACCAGATTTATATGAGTAATGGACTTTGGTAGAGTAAAGCCATTAAAAAAGGCAGTCACCGCATTAAAAATATCATTTCCAACAATATCCCAACACGATTGAAAGAAAAAGCCAGTAAATCCATCAGGACCACTAGCACTATTACCATTTAGCTTGAAAACTACCTTCTTCACCTCCTGCTTCGTAGGACAGACTTTTAGTAGCATATTATCCTCCTCCAAAATTACATGAGGGACATGTTTTATATGACCACCAAAACAGCAATCTCAAAAGAGTTATGAACATCAAAATAACAATCAATCTAAGTGAAGCAATTTGTATAATAATGGGTGGCAGCCCAAGGGCAAATGCCTAGCATGGGTCGATCTCAATTGATATGGAAGGGTGGCAGCTCAGGGGGGAAAGCCTAGCATGGGTAAATCCCAATTGGTATAGAAGGGTGGCAGCTCAAGGGTGAAAGCCTAGCATGGGCCGATCCCAATTGGTTGAATTATGAGGACAGCATCCCAGGGGTTAAATACCTAGCATGGGTCATCCTCTTCTACCACTAATCAGCTGGTCATTTGTATCATATGCCTTATAAAGATTAGAACACGTAGAAAAGTAAAGAAAAGAATGTAACATACACGAGTCCAAAAGTATAAGCAAAGATGGTCTCTAATCCTTACCCATTTGTATTTGGTTTCACTTGAGCTCTCATTTTACATATGTTTGTATTATGTCTTACATATTCAATATATTCTTTCGTACTGACGTCCCTTATTAGGGACGCTACATTTCATGCTACATGTACAGGGGCTCAACTAGTAGATCTCCCCAATAGAAGCACATGATCCTCAGCGGTTGTTGGTGAGCTCCAGGTTGATTCGGGGATTTGCCGAGTCTTTACTATGCGTATTTTGATAGTTGTACAGTCATGGATTCTAGTAGAGGTTTTGTAGATATTTTAAAAGTATCATCTGTATTCATAGTTTTACCTGTCACATGTTTGGTTCAGCTAGTCGACATATGTTGTATATATAGATTCTCAGTAGCAAATCTATATGCATAGTAGTTCACTTTCTCATCATATGTCACTTGTAAAGCATGTGTTCATATGGTACTTGTCCGCCAAACCTAGGGTGGGTGTGACACTTTAGCAAAGTCAAATCAGTAGCACCATCTTCCACAGCAAATTGATTCTTAAAAAAATTGATTGCTTGCTCAGCCACCTGATCATTGCCTTCAGCCCACTGCCCATCTTCCTTAAGCATTCGACTCACAGATAGTCTCTTTCTTCTCCCATTCACTAGGCAGTGAAAAAATCTAGTATTTTTATCCCCTTCAATATGCCACTGAAAACCTGCTTTTGTCTCCAATATTCTTCTTCAAAGTGTATATATTTTTGTAGCTCAGCCTGAGATTGTTGTAAAATCATACTGTTAGAACATGTAGGATTTTTTTCAAATAGATCTTCTTTCAGCATCACAATCTCTTCCCTAATAATAAGTTGCTTGAAAATATCACCAAAACTCTCTTTGCTCCATCTGGATAGAGCTATTTTAGTGTTCTTCATCTTTTGTTTCAAGCTAATGAAGACATCAAAAGAGTCTTGTGATTTCCAGCTATTAGCAACTATTTCCAGAAATCCTTTTTCTCCACCCAAAACTTCAAAAATTTGAAAGGCTTCCTCACATCTGAGCTTTGCCCACCACTAGTTAGAAGCATGGGGGCATGGTTAGAGCCAGTCCTTGGCAACTGTTCCATTTCAAGGTTGCCTAATAAGCCAATAAAAGATTGATTCACCATAATTCTATTCAATCTCTTAAAGATACACTCCTCATCAATTCTACCATTCCACCAACTAAAAGGGCTGCCCTTAAAATTAATGTGTAGTAATTCACAAGAATTCATGCAGAAGGCAAAATCTTCATACTCATGAGGGTACACTGGGAGACCCCCTATTTTCTCCTCATCATTCATAATGACATTAAAATCTCCCCCCACTATCCAGGGCATATTGTAATTAACACTAATATTATATATATCATCCCACAGATTGATTCTTTCCAAGGCATCACATTTTGCATACACTACTGTAGCCAAAATGATATCACCAGTCTCTTGGAAGTGAAGTTGAAATGTCAATTGTTGATCTGAGTCTGATATCACCCTAACATGAATATGTTCCTGAACAAATATCCAAATCTTGTCATTCTGATTATGAGTTGCATAGGACATGCCTAGCTTTCTTTTATACCTGTGAATTTGATTCCCTTCTTGAAATGGTCCCATCAATGCAATGAAAGAGAATTTGTGATGTCTGTTGAGCATTTGGATCCTCTGGAATTAATTTTGAGTTTTGACAGCTCTCACATTCCAAAACAAAGTCTTCATCTTCATTTAGAACTTATTTTCACAGCCCTTTTAGGGTTTACTCTGACAGGTCTATTATCCACAATAACTTTTCCTTTGACTCCTTTGGAAATTGATTGAACAGTTAGACCAGCATTCTTCATTATTTGATCTTCTTTAAAGGTGTTATTTTCTTCTTCTGTATCTTCTACATCTTCACCCTCGTGGTTGTATGTGCTGACCTGATAATCTTCTTCAATAAGTTGATGAGAAACAAGATTAAGTAATGTTCTAATAGGGCTGGACTTTTTGCAGGTATTCATAATTTCTCTCATTCCCTATATTGTTGTTACCTCTTTGGATGCATTATATTCAAGTGCAAACACTACCTCACTCCCAACTATTTGAAGTGGTTCCTGGAAGGTAGCTATTTTATCAAAATTATATGTTGATGTTTTTGTATTGGTTGTTGCAGGTCCACCATGTTGTGCTAACTTCAGATCCCTGTCATCCTTCTTGAACCTTTCTTCATTATGCTCAGTTGTTACCAGGGGAAGATTCTCATTCCTGAGAACTATCTCCATTCCAATAGTAGGTGCATTCATGTCTGTATTTCCATCCCCAATGTGATAATGTATGTGCTTGTTCTCCTGCTGATCTTCTGTAGAATGATCTCTTTGATCAAAGGTCTAGATGACCTAATCTTTAGTGGACTTTTGTTGCTGCTCATCATCCTTTATGTTTAAGGTTTTGTCTTTGAGTGTAACCTCATCATCTTTTGTTAGTTGTGACATTCCTGATTCTTCACCCTTATTGTGATTCATGTCTATCTTATTGATTGCATTTACCTCCTATTGTTGCATTTTCATGCTTGTATCTTCATTATTTAATGCTGCAAATGAATTTCCTGTGCTGACACTTTCTTCCCCCTTTTTTTTTTATCTTCAGTTTTTTGTCTTGGTGCATTTTTATTCATGGGAAGCCACCTCTTAAATTGTCTTCCTACCCTTATGGAAGCGTGGGTTTTTTTTTTCCAGACATGGGAGGGTATATTGGGGAAAAGAAAATCAGAGAAAGTTTAGTAGGTTTTTTATTGATTAAATATTTTTTAACGACTGGCTATTATGATAAGATATTATCTCGAGGCTAAAATTAGCTTTAATGATCGGGAAAAAAATTGGTCATTGTAATTATATCTATAACGACGGAATTCACGTCCCTTTGTTAAGAAATGGTCGTTAAAAGTCATATTTATTTGGTCAAAGTTCATGTGCAATGCCATCTTGATCGTTTAATGAATATATTGTGGCCACCATTTATAGTTTGACCAATTAAAATTATGTTTAAACTTATTGTTAAATCGTTTTGTAGTAGCGTAATTTTGTGCTTGACTATTTAAGGCATTTGGACTTTTAAGTTAATCTTCCCATAATGTAATAATTATGTTTTGTTTTAAATTGACCAATAAATTAAAGTGGTTGTTATGCTAAGCAATTATATGTGTACTTAGTGCAAAATAGTTTGTTGGTCACCAAAGTGACCAAACTAAAATGTATAAAATTATGCACATGCACAAAAAAAATTATGATACTATGTGTGCTTTGTATTTATATAGTTTATTCGTCACCAAGGTGGCCAAACTAAAGAAATTAACGTCTACACATATCATGTTTATGATCACTTGATGCATGTATTATGTTTCTATAGTTTGTTAGTCACCAAAGTGGCCAAACTAGAGAAATTAACATCTACACATATCATGTTTATGATCACTTGATGCATGTATTATGTTTCTATAGTTTGTTAGTCACCAAAGTGATCAAACTAAAATGTATAAATTAAAATTATTCGCATGCACAAAATTTTATGATATTATGTGTGCATTTGTATCTATATAGTTTGTTCGTCACCAAAGTGGTCAAACTAGTATGGTTAAGAAAAATGTGCATTCATAAAATTGTCATTTATCTATGAAAGTTAATGAAATGCCTATATTGAAAATAAATAGATAAATTTACTTTCACTATTGCTAGAACTTAAGAATTTAACCAAAGGTGAATTAATCATTCTACGAATAGTGAACACTATGAGGTAAATTAATATTCTCAATCAAAGATATATTGTATATCCAAAGATGTCGTATATGTTTGGTTAAATATATTTAATTGCCTATTAAAGATTTAAAATCTGACATTTAAATTATGATAGTGTGTCATAGTATCTACCCAAAGGAGAATTACGATGTACTTTTATCGTTTTACTAAATTCACATTATTTTTTATTTGTGAGCATGTATATTTATTTGCAGTTATTCCTTTTCATTCACATTCTTTGTCTGTTACTGTGTTCAATGGATTGAACTTCTTTGAATGACATGAACAAGTAGTTCCACTTAGGTATGATGGATCTTGACTTGGCTCTACTAAATGATAAACCTACTGTCATTACTTATAAGAGCAGTGAAAATGAGAAGTTTTTCTATAAATCATGGGAGCGCTCTAACAGATTGAGTCTTATGTTCATGCGAATGATTGTTGCTAACAACATTAAGAGTATTATTCCACAAACAGAAAGTGCCAGGGAATACCTGAAGTTTGTGGAAGAACATTTTCGTTCTACTGATAAGTCTCTCGTTGGTACACTAACGACTGAACACACGACCATGAAGTTTGATGGGTCGCGCAGTATGCAAAATCATATCATCGAGATGACTAATATTGCAACAAGACTTTCGACCTTGGGGATGAAAGTGGATGACACCTTCTTGGTTCAGTTTATTCTGAACTTATTGCCTCTTAAGTATGGATCATTCCAAATAACTATAACACTATTAAGGATAAGTGGGATGTTAGTGAATTGTCCAGTATGCTTACTCGAGAGGAGTCAAGACTTAAGAAATAAGGAGATCATTCCATTAACCTCATGGGTCAAGGAGCTGGTAAAGGACTTAAAGTGAAGGCCAGCAAGTTTTTTTAAAAAAAACACTTGCTAAAGTTCCATAGGATGCTCATAAGAAACTCAAGAATGATGTGTGTCGTTTCTGTAGAAAGGAATGACACTTTCACTAAATGAAAGTTCTGCTTATTTGTGGCATAAATGTTTAGGTCACATATCCAAAGAAAGATAAGATTAGTAAAGAATGAAATACTTCCGAGTCTAAATTTTATTGATCTTGATATATTGTTTGGATTGCATTAAAGAAAAGCAAATCAAGCAAACCAAGAAAGGTGCCACAAGGAGCACTCAGCTTCTTGTAATTATATACACTGATATTTGCGGACCCTTTGATGTTCCATCTTTTTGTGGAGAAAAATATTTTATCACCTTTATCGATAATTTTTCACGTTATGGATTTATCTATTTGTTGAAAGAAAAATCTCAAGCAACGGATGCTCTCAAAGTATACGTTAATGAGGTTGAATGACAATTAGATAAAAGTGAAAATCATTAGGTCAGATAGAGGTGGTGAATATTATGGAAAGTATGACGAATCAGGACAATGTCCAGGTCCATTTGCAAAATTCCTCGAAAAACATGGCATATGTGCACAGTATACTATGCCAGGAACACCTCAACAAAATGGTGTTCCTGAAAGGCATAATCGAACACTTATGGATATGGTTAAGAGTATGATAAGTAATTCCTCATTACCCAAATGATTGTGGATGTATGCTCTTAAAACCGTTGTATATTTATTAAACAGGATTCCTAGTAAGGCAGTTCCAAAGACCCCTTTTGAACTGTGAACGGGAAGGAAGCCTAGTTTAAGACACCTGCATGTTTGGGGTTGTCAAGCAAAAGCTAGAGTTTATAATCCACATGAAAAGAAATTAGATTCTCGAACGGTAAGTGGTTACTTTATTGTCTATCCAAAGAAATCTAAAGGGTATAGGTTTTACTGTCCAAATCATAGTTCGAGAATGTAGCAAAATGCGATACTTGGTGTGAATTGCAGAATCCCGTGAACCATCGAGTCTTTGAACACAATTTGCACCTGAAGCCATTAGGTCGACGGCATGTCTGCCTGGGCGTCACGCAAAAATAGAAAAAAAACAAAAAAAAAGAATTGTTGAAACTGATAATGCAAAATTCATTAAGAATGGTGAATTTAGTGGGAGTGTTGAACGACAAAGTGTGGAAATCAATGAGGTAAGGGTAAATACTTCATTGCCCATGAATGTACCTACTTCCATACCAATAACAAATGTTGTTCCTCATGTTGAAGAACACTTTTAACAATGTTGAACAATATTTGGGTGAAACACTTCAAAAAGGAACTAACTCACAAGTATCTGATGCAAATGAACCACAAACAGTGCCATCAAAGAGAAAGAAAATTGGCCATTTCAGATGATTATGTGATTTATTTGCAAGAGTCGGATTTTGGCATTGGAATTAATAAAGATCTGGTTTCATTTTCACAGGCCATATAAAGCACTGAGTCTGATAAATTGATTGATGCCACGAATGAATAGTTAAAATCCATGGAATACAACAAAGTCTGGGATCTTGTTCAATTACCAGAAAGTTCTAAAAGAATCGGATGTAGATGGGTCTTCAAGACCAAACACAATTCTAATGGTAATATTGAACGATATAAAGTCAGACTAGTTGCCAAGGGATACACTCAAAAAGGAGTCATTGATTATAAAGAGACCTTTACACCGGTCTCAAAGAAAGACTCATTAAAAATTGTTTTGGCTTTGGTAGCCATTATGATTTAGAGTTACATCAAATGGATGTGAAAACTGTCTTTCTTAATGGAGACCTCGAGGAGGATATTTATATGGACCCAACCAGAGGGGTTTTCGAAATTTAAAGGAAAAGATCAAATGGTGTGTAAGCTAAAGAAGTCAATATATGGACTAAAACAAGCCTCACGACAATGGTATATAAAGTTTAATGATAACCATAAACCCTTTTTTTTGGATTTTAAAGGAAATTACCGTTGATCGGTGCATATACCAAAAGATCAGTGGGAGTAAGTTTATATTTTTAGTCATGTATGTTGATGACATTTTACTTGTTGCTAATGATTTTAGGTATATTGCGTGAGATGAAAGACTTTCTCTCTATGAACTTTGAAATGAAAGATATGGGTGAGACATCCTATGTGATAGGGATAGAAATATTATGTTATAGATATCAAGGAATATTGATATTGTCTAAAAAGGCTATATCAAAAGAGTTCTAGAGAGATTTAACATGAACAGATGTTTAGCATGAATAGTTCTTATTCAAAAAATGGGACAAATTAATCTCATGCAATGCCCAAAGAATGATGTAGAACGAAAAGAAATGAAATCAATTCATTCATCTTCAATTGTTGGAAGTTTCATGTATTATGTTCAAACTTGCACAAGACCGAATATTATTTTTGCGGTTGGAATGCTAGGAAGATATCAAAGTAATCCTGGAATTGATTAATGAAAAAAAAATTGCAAAGAAAGTTTGTGGCATGTTATGAAGCCACAATTCATGCATTATGGCTGCGGAACTTCATTTCAGGACTTGGGGTTGTCGACACCATTACCAAACCGTTGAAAATTTATTGTGATAATGTTGCAGCAGTATTCTTCTCCAAGAACAATAAGTACTCCAAATGTGTCAAACATATGGAATTAAGGTACTTTACTGTTAAGGAAGAAGTTCAGAAACAAAGAGTGTTACTTGAGAATATTAGAACTGATCTCATGATTGCAGATCTGTTAACAAGGGCTTACAATCAAATACATTTAAAGAACATATTCAAAGAATGGGTCTTGG